TGTAGGCTTCGAGTACACACGCAAAGTCAGAGCAGTTCAAATCTCTCCACCACCCCTACTGGACACAGGCTATAAACGCTTTAAGACCCCCGAAGCCGAAGAGAAAGAGAGAGAGAGAGAGATAGAAAAAATCAAAAAATCAACAAATAAAACAAATACATGAGTAACACCTAAAGACACCAAACTCTAAAAGTGACAAAGCCAACGGACTAAAAAGACAACACCCGAATATACCTGAAAAACTCCTAAAAGCCTCGACGCCGACACCCAAAAACACAATCAAAAGGCTACAAACCCGAGACCCTTTTAACATGAAAGGCTCTGAAAGCCCTGAAAACCTCAACAAATCCAACACCTGAAAGCACCTAGGTGTGGCGGGCCTTTGTGCTGGGTGTGGAGGCCTCTCGCGGGACCCTTTTTCCTGGGACCCTTTTCGTTTCTTAGGTGTGGCTGGGCCCTTTTGTCCTAGGCGTGGTGGGACCATCTTTTTCTCTAGGTGTGGCTGGGCCCTTCTTTCCTCTCTTTTCCTAGGTGTGACGGGATCTTTTTTTTGCCTTGGTGTGGCTTGTTTCCCAGGTGTGGCGGGGCCTTTTATTCCTAGGTGTGGCGGGGCCCTTTATTTTTCCTAAGCGTAGCGGGACCGCTTTTTCCCCCACCTGCAAAAACGATGCTGTGCCGGGCTTTGAATGGATTCGAAATAAGCGAGGGGTTGGAGGGGGGGGGGGCAGACACTCCCCAACCCCCATTTGCAAAATGGGTGCCTACAATGACGAGTTTGGAAGAATTCATGTGGGTTTTGAAACCATTAGGTTCCCTTCATGGCAAGACCCCCCCCCCCGTTTCAAAAGCCTACAAACCCAAAACCCAAAAAAAACAACAACACTCGAAAAAAATGAAACCTAAGAATTGAACACTAAAACCCCAAACCTTAAATAAAAACCCTGAACCCTAGCATCCTCTCTAAACACCCAAAGACCCAAAACGCAAAAACATTGAAAGCCTCCAGACCCCAAACAGTAAACGAAAAACTGAAAACCTAAACCCTAAACTCCTGAACCTTTAATAACTAAAACCCGAGAAGCGCTGAACATACAAGTAGAGCAGCATCAAAAGCCTACAAACCCTAAACCCATAAACAATTCGAAGGCCCGTCTTGGTGTATGCAGGCGCGTCTTTTTTGGTGCTCTGGTTTCTTGTTTTTTGGTGCTTGCGCGGGGTGTTTCCGATTGCTGTCCGCGGCACAGTGCTACATGCAATGTGACACAACGTGACACGCAACACAAACCGGCTCAGGGGAGTGCCCAGAGGTGACAGCCACCTTACCAGAAGACAGCAAAGGGGCAACGAAAGCCTCGCCTTGCATCGCACTTCCATTCCTGAGATCTGGACCCACGCCTGCGGTGTAGAAACCTTGACATCAACCTGCCCATGCACAATCATCCCACATCATCCTGTTCATCGCTGCGCTAGCCTACATGTCACGACAGGCCCATCCTGTAAGGTCTCCATGCGAGTGGACCACCCAGGAAAGCCATCTGTCCTTGCTTTCGCTACACTTGACACCATTTCAATCGGCTGGCGCCCGAGGCGTCAACTTGCCATCCAGAAACAGCGATTTGCTGATGCCCAGATGTGTTACCATTGTTCGGGCCTTAGTCATAGATTGCCACGGCATTGAGATGTGAGCTCATGTTTGCCCTGCCTTGTTTGCCAGCAGGCAGCAGCATACACCTCGTGTTCAATTCGAAGCGGTAGGACTATGCTGTGCAATAGAACCTGACTAAGCACAGCACCACTGGAAGCGGAAAGATCTTCGCCAGATTCTTTCCTGCTCTCTGGTTCAACACACAACCATTGGTAGCACAATCCTGTCGATGTTACCTAAAAACGAGGGTCGGATCAAATGAAACACCACGAATCCGGGCGACAACTTCGACACAGCAACCTTGAAGGAGCCGGTTTGAAGCAAAGCGTCTGGAAGAATGCTCAGGCGAACAGGCAAAACCAGAAATCAAAACAAGTGGCGTGAATATGATGATTCTGACGATGACCCTGACGGCACGGACGATGACTCTTAAGATGCAAGCCAGAAATCTTGTGCTCACAAAAAACACAACAAGGCAGGGTCACCAAGGAGGGGCCTGTTGCCCCCCACGTTTTCTCGGAAACGGGAAGTGATTTAGGTGCAACAAGAAAAGCCCCGACTTTCACGTGGACCAAAAGCCAAACACCTCATGTGGTTTTGCGGCTGCTGAGAGCTCTTGAAATTTCCAGACTCACGACCGCGTTCTCGTGGAACTATGTGGACCACATAGGTCTCCGTGCATTACTTTGCTCACACTTTATCTTGCACGACCGAAGAAATGATCTCGGGGAGTCAATGGGCGAGCGTGAGTGAGTGAGCGTCGGCCTGCATGGAAAACCTGCGGCCCACCTCCCAGGTCCCTCTCGACTTCGCAGGGGGGGAAGGGGGCACCGTCATGACCCCGCCACAGAATTCAAGTCGTTTCTTTTATATGGGGTGGTCAATTTCCTGCAGACAACTTTCTATTCGATGGTCGTATCTTGAAAATTTATTCTAATCTTCTTATGTGCTGGTGTCTTGTGCTCACTCGTTTAGTTCGTTCAAGCGGCTTTTTGCACCAAAAGCCCTTCATGGCTTTTGGCAGTGATTGCTAACTCAGCACTTCGTTTCATTCTTGGGTGCATCCCTTTCGTTCGTGAGTCCTTTGACTTGGTCTTAAAGTGTGACGTGAGGAAGAGTGAGCCGAATTGGGACGTCCTTTTTGTGCCAGCTCCATCTAACTCTTGGTACTGAAGGTAGAAAACCAGGAAACGCACGAACGACAACCGCGGAAACAAGGGCGCAAGCAAGTGAAGGCCCCAAAAGACCCCGCAAGCGTATGGCAAGTGAAGGGTCGTTTTGGGAATTCCCAACGAAGTGTGTCCAAAACCCTTTCATTCTGTATAAATATTCGGGGGGGTTTGGCGGGCGCAATTTCACGATTTGATTCGGGGCCGTAATAATATCATTCGAGTATAAAACGTTGTGAGCCCAAGCCAAAATATGCCCAAACTATTTGTTACGCAGCTGGCAGTGAGCAGCAGGCACAGGAAACTGGCAGCAAGGTTGTGTTGTTCTACCAATTACGGGGTGTCGAGAACACGCCTCACAGGTGCATGAGAAACAACGCCTGAAAAACTAGCATCGCTGCCATGTTTTATCCTCTGTGCAGGGAGGCAATCTCTATGAGATTAGTATGGCGAGCGCAGTGGACGTGTGCAAGGACAGGGTAGGAAAGAAAAGAATCCTAGACAGAACCGCATTCAACGATCTAGCTCATCAGCCGCTTGGAGATCTCCCTCCATTAGGACAGGAATCGGCATGCCACAGTAGCAACCAGCATGTTCAAAAACTTGAATATCTCGATGAAAGCCTGATCGTCTATTATTGCCTCCTTCGGGAACATGGAATCCATGGAAGAAAAACTGTCTCTCTCTGGCTTGCACCACGAAAACCGCTGTTTGGCCCAAGACGTTTTTTGTCGAGACTCTGACAGTAACGTTTGCATTTTGGGTTTCGGCTTCATTTTGAGGTTGCACCAAACTGGTCCATTGCAACTGTCATGTCATGTTGAAGTGGCACCCATTGGTAAGATGGTTCACACGCAGTATGCTCCAATCTGGCCCGGTGCACCCTGCCGGCTTGCCCAGGAAGGGCTCAACTCCCGCCGTTGCCAGCTCCGCCTGCAGCCTTGAATGCACCGGCACCCGGCCAAGGCAGCCGAAAGTATCAGACATCGGGCACTCCCCAACGCGTGGGATCTCGCGGGCCTTGCTCCAGCAGCATCGTGCCCGACCATCCCTTGGATTCGAGAACGTCGCAACTGTGCCCGTATGGGCATGAAAAACCCAACCTCCCCCTGGGCTGTGCGACCCAGCATGATGCGCCGTGGCTTCTGGCTTTCAGGCTGCTTCTTCTTGCACCTGGTTCTAGCAAAGCTTTGGCATCTAGCCCTTGCCGAACTTGCGTGCACCATGTGCGTGCTAAGGACCACCAAGAACCAGCTCGAAGGCTGTTGGCAATCACCCCACCAGGTGTGGTGCTCGCCTCAGGTCTGTAGGCTTTGGGAGAACTGGCTCGAAGCATCTCAAAGCTACGTGGAGCGCACCTTGCCGGCCTCTGCTCTGCTCAGACAGTCTTTGACCAAAGGCATGTGCCTCTCCTTAGAAGCCCCAGGACTATTCGCTGCTCCTGGCTTCTTGTCAGCATCCCGGCCTCTGCCAGGCATTGTGTGTTCGCCTCAACCTTTGCAATCTTTAGGAGTGCAACCGGAATGCAACCTCGACCATGTGAAGACTTCTGGCCCGTGTGCCTGGTAACGCTTGAGGATGTCTGGGTCGTCGTCTATGGCCACCACTACATCCTTGGATGACGGCTGGCCAAATTTAAACTCTTAACCAGGATCAGTCGCGCTTCATGCATACAAGGGTCCAGCAATACCTGGTCTACACCAATAATCATCCCCCTGCCATGGTCATTACTGCGATATGGCTTCGTTCTGCCTATTCGTTAACTGAGCGAGCCTTTTCTGCAGGTGCGCCTTCCCGCGACGTGGACTTAATTGCCCTAGGATGTATCGCATGTACACTTTGCATCCCTTGTCTGCAAGCAGCGTTCTGGCTTCGAGCGAACTTACGCACATACAAGCACCTTGCTGATGGAACACGTTATTTGTTTTGCAGAATCGGTTTCAGCTCGATTGACACCCTATCAGTTTGTGTGAGGATGTCAAAGAGATATCTTCGAAGGCTGGGCGTGTGATGCTACGCCTATGAAAGCTTGGACTTGAGCTCCAAGTTCAAAACAGCGGCAGCAGCGAGCCCAGCAAAAACTACAGCGACAGCCACAGCAGCGACAACGATTACGACGATCATGGCGAATGCGACGACGACTCGTGCTGCCGCCACTGCAGGCAAGTCTTGCCAGCACCGGGAGCCTTTGCAATCTCGGGCGTGGCAAACGCAAGGATGGCCCAGCCAGGCCCCTCTGGATCTGCAGGCCGGAAGCTGACCTGAAAGGCAAACGGCCTGTGTGAGGACCGCTGGCACAGCGGACATCGAACCAGGTCGAACCTGCAGAACCTCATCCGGCCGGCCGGCTCCGGTCACAACCTGGCAACGGCGTTGCTTCGATACGGCTGGGCAGCGGAAGCTTGCAGAGGACCTGCTGCTCTGTGACAGCTGGTGGGATCTTATTGAGGATGACCTGCCAGCACTGGTTCACAACTCTTACAGATACAGAAAAGCGACTTCTTCAATTGAAAGTGGTCTGATCTCCGGCTCTCGACATGCCAGACCCACCACGTTGGTTGGTCCAGGCGCCGGCGCCCCAACCGGTCCCATCACCTTGTGGCGGGGCCAAGGCACATGTTCACATTAAGTTCACATATGGCTGTTTGGACACTTCATACATTGCCATACATCTTCATATTTCATGCCCTCAGCACATATCACAGCCTAGGTGCGCACAGGCCACCTCCCGGCAATCGGTGCTTGTTCTTAAGCTCTTGTCTGGTCTTATTGGCTTAGTGGTTCTGAGATTACGTTGAGAGCCACGGTGAACATGCCATGCACGAGTGCCGTCTCTGCTTTAGACTGGCCTCTGAGATAGCCCACCCCTCATACACGTGCCATGGAAACATCTTGAGACATGTACATGGAATCATGACATCACCGCTGCATGTGCTGCCACCACCTGCATCATGTGAAGCAACCCTGCTGTCAAGCTACCAGCGGCTCATTTGTAAATCCCCCACGATTCCAACCGAGCAGATTCCTACAGGCCGAAGCCGACTACATTCTCACCGGTGAAACTTTGAGGCCGCCTTCATCCCATTTAGGAGAAGCGAACCTCAGGAATCCTGCAGACAAGCGCAATCTCCTAGCTTGGCACCTGGCTTATAGTAAGTCCCCGTAGCTTCGCGATCATACATAACCTCTTCAATTTCTCAATCCAAGGGAGGCAGAGGCGGGTCTTGCAACGGGGGCAGCTCACGAGCCAAACCGCCTCTTTGCCTTGGGGCTCCAATGTCAAAGGTTCTGCCGATTCCTACGAGCGAGAGAGGCTGCTTCCTGAGGTGCACACAGAGGTGGCGGCGAAAGCGAATTTGCAAGGGAGTGCGCCTCATCAGGAAATGAAGCAAAGGAGAGAGCGGCACGTGTTGTTTACAACTTCTGAGGCAACAACCGCTGGAGAATCCTCACTTCTGGAGCTCCTTGTTCGCATCCCTGCATGGAAAGGGCACGTCGGCTGTTGGGCTGTTGGGTTGTTCGTGAATTTCAGATCCCTGATCCCTCTCATGCATGCCCTACAGCTTTAACATCTTCACTTCACTTCACTTCACTTGAGCAGGAACGTTCCCTGGCGAACCACGAACCCTCAACCCCAAACCCTAAACCCTGAACCCCAGTCTAGCAATGCAGGGCCAGTATTTTTCCGAACACCTTCAAGACCTGCAATCCTGAAACTCGGGGGGAAGACGCGTCGGTCACATGTCAGGACACCCACGCAAGCATTGCCACTCATCATCACGGGCAAGCCGTACCCAAAGCCCAAAGTGACAGGTGCCCGTTTGACGTGTTCAGGGTGCTGGCTTGCAGCATCTAGCCTGGTATCGGAAAGAAACTTGCCTTTCGGGGCAGCGTCGATGTGCCGTTTGCAACATGTTGGCACATGTCCGGTGCTCCATCAAAAACCCGCCTCGCCCGCAGGACCAACTTTTTGACAGGGTCGCCTCTCCCCTTTGCCCCTATACCCCCTGTGTCTTCAGCAGAACAAGTTGCGGGCATCGAGACGAAAAGCTCCTTGGGGAGAGCTTTCGTGATTAATGCTACCCGATGGCTCAGTCCTTAACTTAGGCATCGCACAGCAGCTAATATTAAACCTGACGTCGGCGAGGCAACCAAGATCCCCTTATGGTTCTCTGCTACACGCATGGCCCGTCCGTGCAGGCTTCAACTCCAAGGCAAGCATTCAGCTTCGTGCCTTGAGGGGATGCTTCTATCCTTGGGAAGATCGCCCACAATGGTTGTGAAAAGTTTTAACATACTTCAAGTCCGCAAGAATTCGCACACCCCTCTGAGTTCCGCACAGCTCCTGCATCGAATCCTCGACTACCACTCTCACAAGCAGAGGCCGTAGAAGCTGACAAGACCCTGCCTTGGGATCGTCTCTAGACTGGATACCTTCTTCTTCGGAGTCTTCGATTAGAGGCGGAGGCTCCTGCCGAAGCAAACACAATGCCAGTCCAGCCAACTGCTTTCGCCGAGAAAGCTCAAAAAAGCCACTCAAACCTCGCCAGCAAGCAGAGCTTCATTGCGCTTCAGGACCCTTTCGGCACGACGCCGACCTGCAGTAGATCCAAGCTGGCAGGAAAGCATATGCGCTGCGCAATCCCTAAAAGCTTGGTTCACCAAGACCCAGACGCTTCTCTGCCAGCCTCTTCTTTTCCAGCCGATCCTCGCACATGTGCTTTATCCCCACCATGTGCACTATACTCAAATTTCACACATTCTATGACTAGCCACTGCCGCAAAAGGAGGTAGGTCCTTTTCAGCCGCCTCATCCTCCGCTTCCTTCGAGCGTACCTTGCCCTGCATCAGATATGTCTTAGAAGCAGCATGGCAGCTGACTGGACTGACAGGGGCGATTCACGTCATTGAATACAGCAAGGTACGTTCCACCGTGAGGGGGGTTTAGCACACTACCCACGGACTCTAAACCAACCTTAAACCCTATACCCTCAACCACTTAACCATCCTGAGCTTAAACCTCGAAGCCTGAAGCCTGAACCCCGAAAACCCGAAGCCCCTATAGGAGATGCTTGCGCGCTTGTGGCCCGTTGCATCGTAAGTTCTTGAAACCCTAAACCCTAAACCCTAAACCCTAAACCCTAAAACCCTAAACCGTAAACCCTAAACCCCAAACGGAGCGGAGCCGAGCGAAGGGGAGTCGATTCTTCGCGCGGGCTTGGGGTTTGGGGTTCAGGGTTTAGGGTTCAGGGTTTGGGGTTTAGGGTTTAGGGTTTAGGGTTTGGGGTGTGGGGTTTGGGGTTTAGGGTTTAGGGGCTTAAGGTCTAGGGTGTGGGGATTGGGGTTTCGGGTCTAGGGTGTAGTAGTTTTCCAGGATGCTTGTCATGGCGCCTCGATGTCCATCATCTGCTCTTTTGCTTCAACCAAGTGCATCCTGACTTGAACTTGTCGGACACCGGCCTCAGAAGACTCGCAAAAAGAGAAATCCACAATGACAAATGACACCCGGACAAACCGAATTCTGCTTGTCTGAGGCTTGCGTCAGCTCACTTTCAGCTTCTTGAAAGCCAACCTAGTTCTGCCAGAGTTGCTCTAGCAGCAATCTCCTGGATCTCTTCGAACCGGGCAACGTCATCTGGCACGGGGCTCATGCATGCACGAAAAGCACAAGGAACCGGACTCAAGCGGCCTGGGCGCTCGTGCTTGGTTCGAGCAAGCAGCGCTTGCAGATCTGCAAGCGGTTCCGGTAGAGCAGCTGTCAGGCAGTGCGCAACTGCAGTATCGACTTTGACAAGGCCGGAACAGCGAGTGCTTGCGCGCCTGTGTAATCTATTCGGTCGCGCCAAATAGTCAAGTCCGTCCACATCTGGCAGTCCACATGCTGAGAAAGCCAGATTTGGCACAGATGTGCAAAACCAAGAAAACGCAAGTCTCTGCTCCGGCTTCAATTAGCAACTCCTTTGCATGCCTTGATGCCGCTACGAAAATCTCAAGATGGCATGTCCAGTTCCACACATCTCCCCGCCAGCAAACCCCGAAATATGCTGCTGCCGTGCAGGCTGCTGCCGTGCAGGCTGCTGCCGTGCAGGCTGCTGCCGTGCAGGCGCAACGGCTAAAAGAAAAGATTTTTGATTTGTTTTTCAACGTCTGCTTCATCAGCACAAGACATTCAGGGAGCGCCAATTCGGCCCATTGATGCCGCACATCATTGCGCTGGCTCATGATCTGCTCGATCTCCAGATCACGCACCCTCTGCCTGTTGCAAGCCATTCGGTCGGTCTATATTGTGTATGAGGCCAACAACAACTGCCAGCATTGCGAAAGCACTCGCCGCCCTTTGCAAATCGAACACGGAAGTGACTTGCATCAGCCCACAATATGGTGCCTATCTTTGGCTCCTGCATACCATTCTGGAGAAAAAGGTGGTTGTCCATTCGTGAGTTTGTCTGGTACCTGCTGTCAGCACCGCAAATGAACCCGCAACAACAGCAACATCATCACACATGAATGGGATGCATTTGTTAGAGCCCCATGTCGCACCCCAGCAGCTTCGAACAGACTCTCCAGGTCCGGCGGCGCCTTAACAAAGCGCCGATCTTTCGGCGCTACGACGCTACGCCTTGCATCTCCTCTGCTTCAAGAAGCAAGAGCACCGTGCCTCCGGCTCCTTCGGCTTCTGGCCATAAACCCAGCCTTCCTCCACTGGCATGCGGTCCACCATGGCGCCGAAAGCGAAAGCCCTTACAAAGAAAAATACTGAGTGACCATCGAGCACACTGGGCGTGGTAGGACTCCTTTTTCGACATGAATCACGAGGTGATCAAACTAAACACTTTTCAACCTGCGAACCGTCACATTCCGAAGTCAAGTGCTCAGGGGCGCGCACATCAAGCAACAACACAAAGCGATGGCTCTCAAGCGCGCACTCTGTTTCCAAGATTTTATGTACGCATCACATCGCATCATGCAGCTGCGCCTTCGGCACAAATCAAGTCAAGTCAAGAGCACTGCCAGGCGCGACGTTTCTGGCGCCGGAGCTGCATCCTTCCAGGTAAGTCGCATGGGAATCTGCAAACGGGTGATAATCACCACTATAATAATCCGTATTCCCTCATGGTCCCGATATATTTATACGGTAGTATCCCTCAACACTCTGATGCTTTGAATGCGGGGTGCAAGACTGGAGCATCACCAGCCTGGTGAAACTTGCCCTCAAAGCCGGTCAACCCAAGATAATCTGGCTCCTCAGCGGAGCGAGCATTGCACACAAGACATTCTCACGATGCAACTGCAAGTCGTGGGTTAAGGGTGTCGCGCGTTTCCGTTGTGCGGCGCTTCCTCAGATCACAACGCAGGTTTGAGCAGCAGAAGCTACCGGCATCGACCTTCGAGTCTCAAAGCACCCAGCGTAATTTGGCTCTGGTGGGAGAGCTTGCAAGTGCACGAAGTTGTCAGCAACACCACACCTTAGCCCATGCGCCTGTCCACCCCGAATCAGCTTCAAAGGAAGATCTTGAGGCATGCACGAGCGAGCCCTTGTTCGGGAAACACCACTCCTGCAAGTGGCTCCACCGAGGAATACTCAACAAATAATTAATCTCAAGCTGTTAGCTGACAGTCCTGCCATATCCCAGAACAGCAGATTCTCGCACTGTTTGCAGACCTTCGTTAAATAGATTGGCTGCTCGCACCTGGTCTCGAGAGCAAGGTCAAAGCTGAAAAGTCGAACATGGCTGAAGTAAAGAGTCTAAAGGAATCTGATGCTTTCAAACTGTTCGGACTTCAGCCTGCTTCTCGGGAGCGGGATGCTCGAAGAAGCGGTGCTTGGAGTTTTTTACTCGGTGTCGCTCTTCTCGGTCGTGCTCTGCAAAAGTGGCCTGGTCAGTTCCATGTCAAAGCATTTTTTCGCCGACCAGCTCAGCCAGGACTGGATAAAAGTGATCTCACCGCTGCCAGTCTATTGGGAGCACAGATGCCTGCATGCTGCCGTACGGATTCACAATCTTCTTCCCAACATGTCGAAACCTAACCACAACGCAAGGACGAGAAACTGTGCTTGGAGTCCTCATTTGGTGATGGCCAGCTGTCTGCAAGAAGCTCAGGGCTGAGGGCTGAGCTCACACTCCCTCCCCACTCCTTCACCCGTAAGGATGTTGAACGTGCACCTTGTCAAACTGCGCCATCATTGAGGACTCTCTTCAGAAAGCGCAGTGTGCAAGCCACAACTGTCCAACTCATGTCCAAGCTGCTTGTCACGAACATGTTGTGCCGCAGACACCTGTGCGGCAGCCCGCTCCTGCTGACATGTCGTTCAGCTGCGCTGTACCCGGCAAAGGCTCAGAACAAACGACTGGTCTGGGCTCGCACTCCTGACGAGCCCAATCTCGCGCCTGTAGCAAGCTCAAATCCGTTGAAAGCCCAAGCTCTTTCAACATGTGCGTAGCATATATATATCTCCAGCTGTTTCCAAAACAAGCCGGTTTGACGGCTTCGTGCTCGAGTCGAGCTGCGTCTTGCTGAATGTCGGCCCTGAGTCTTCCAGTGCTGAACGTGATCAAAACCCTGAGCTTCTCCACTGAGGGTTCTGCTGGTGTCGGCGGTGGAAACCCTACGTACAGCCAGCGTCGGCAAGCTAAGTTCTCAAAGAACGTTGCACCTGACGAACATCGCCTGCCTTGTGGAAACGGGTCTCGTTAATGTTCGATGTGGCAATGAAGTTGGCTTCTTCATCAACACGCTCGATGGGCAGATGCCTTGGGCTTGCCAGAAGATTCCATTCCACTGTTTCATCTATCCTTGCAAAGGAAGAGCCCAAACTGCACGGAACGCACCCGTACGGGAATGTTAGCACCAAGGCCAGGGGTGGTAAAGCCGAGCCAAGGGCTGTGGCTTCAAAAAATCGTGGCGCAAGTACTCGGGCGTCGCAGCCTTATGCCGATCTGCCGTCAACAAGGCCCTTTCAAGCTCAGCATGATCTGGAAGCACAGCGTGAACATGCCACGAATCGAAAGTTACAGGCCAACCAATTGAATCGTCAACACCACATAAACCTAGTGACACTTTTGAAGGTCCAACTTTGAAACACTGACAAACCCTCTCTCGGACTGCATTCATGCAAAAATGCTGTGACAACTGCACGCCTCCTTCTGATTAACAACCTGCCTTCTGATTGGGAACCTGCCTTACCTCAACTCCCGCTTGGTCACCAGCATCGCAAGTGACGGTCTTCTTGGCACTTTTTTTCACCCGAACGTTCTCAAACCGGCCCAGGATGCCACCTGTCATGCCAGAATTCAACACATGACAAACCACACGTCGGCCATTTTGATTGCCATGCCTCCTTGAAGAACGGCTGGTGCATTCTCATGCATGCTTTGGTACTGCTGGCAGAAAGATGCGCTGAATGCATGAAGAACTTCCAATCTTGTTCCCACTTTCACACCCGAATCTATACACATGCATGCCTGGGCGTTTAAGATTGATTGAACGAAGACCACCTGGAGCCAAGTAGCGCCACAATGTCCCTCTTTGCAACCACGTTTACCAACATGACAGCTCGCTTTTGACAATCTGTTTCACATCACCACAATAAAGAAATAAATGTTTGCAAGCGGGTGTTGAAGCGAATTTTGAAGGTTCGTCAAACCTTGACATGCCAACCTCCATATACAACAACGGAACACCCGGTATGTAGGTCTGATCCTGTCTTCAGAACACACAACGCGCTGAAAGCAATGCACACATGACAAATAAAGTACCAAAAAACAAGCCTGGCACTGCAGATGCTTTGCCGCATCAAATGAAAACAGGAACGAACGCAAAACTGCTTTCCAACCCATCATTTCGGGCGATGCAAGCCGTCGCATGTTCGATAACGCACCTGCACTGACACGCAATCATCAGCCATAATGCGTGGGAAAGCTAATTGCAATGCGAAACCGCACGTCGTGCTTAAGGATACAGGCAAGCATGATTGATCGTGGCTGATGGCAGCCTCAGCAACGTCATGTTGGATGGGTTTCTGAACAATATCCTGTTGGATATGCGTGAGCTGCAAGAACCGCATGAGTCCTGTGGCATGCTCACGCGGCTGCAGGTGCATCTCAAGTCCCAAAGAAGGTTGGGCAGTCGGCAAGCATGGTTCCAAAGTGCCGAGAACTGCATCACAATCAGTGCACGTTGGGCAACACAGATGTTGCAGCTTCCCAAGGCCGAACACGACAAGGAGATGGCCAACATGGAGCTTCGCCGAAAGTGAAACCTACCTCTACATTCACACAGCGAAGGACCCAGCGCAGGTTGTGCCTCTCGATACAGAACCAAGGCCCGTGGGCTGCATGAAACATGATGGTTGGAAGCATGAACTCAAGTAGTGACAAAGACACATGCATCCCTTTTTGGGTGCCATTTTATCTGATGAGCAGCTCGAACACCGCAAAGAACGAGCGCCTTAATGGAAAAGCGGCACTGTGAACCTTCTATAAGTCAATTTTTTCAGTGGATTCAAACCGGAGCTATCCTCCGCACATGCCCCGAAGTGCGCAATGCGGGCCACCTGATTGAGGCGACTGGCCACCCGTCCAATATCCAAATGCGCATGTTGCTAGATCACTTAGTAACTGCCCAAAAATGCCTCTGAATCGTGCCGCGGAGGCGCCCCTTGAAAAAGCTCCACACGCTCACCACGCACCGCTTGAACTTGCTTTCAAGCTTGCATACAAACTTTTGTTACGCGTCATTCTAGAGGCACTCCTGCACTGCACATTTACAGGCAGCCAACTTCCCCCTTTTGTGTGATTGACCGGTATGATCCCTTTGAATTTTCCGAAGGGGGCTGGAATTACTTCAAATCAATGAAGCGGGGCATGAAAGGGCTTCAAAAGGGTTTCAAGCCGCCTTCGAGAAGTAGTAGACTCGATACTTCAATAAACCCGAATTCGAAGGCCCTTCGAAGGGGTTTCAAGGAGGCTTTCAAAAGTAAAAACCGTTCAAATTCGAATTCAAGAGGCCCCCGAGTGTTTCAATACTCGAAACAAACCATTGCTTAAGCTTGGACTTGCTGAAAATTTTAAAACCTGGCCCACCCGGGACTCGCCACTGGCCCCACCAGCTGCATCACGGGATGGAATCCACACATGGATAGCAACGTGAAATGCATTCCGAGTTCCGTTTGATTTCCAAACAAGTTTGAGAAGGCGCAAGGGAGGCTGCATTGCTCAAGGAAGGTTGGCTTGACAAGGGGGGATCGAAAGTTCTTCACGGGATCGAGCGATGACGTTCCATGGCAGGCGCTGCCAAAATTGCAGCTTTGTTCTTTCCAATGCGCAATGCAAAAGTGCAGCAAGCTAAGTATCGGTGCCTGCGCTGGGTATAACCCCTTGGAATTTTCTGAAGGATCTAGTTGACGTAAACCAATAAAGAATAGCCGCTCTGCAAGGTTGCCTTGACCCCTGAACACGTCGTTTACGGCTGTAAATGGTGGATAGGAATGGCGCCCCCGCCCTTTCAGCACTGGAAACAACTCAGGCAACAGTATCCCTTCCGGTGCCGGTGGTTGCGTGGGTTGATGCCGGCAAGTGTCACCGCCCTAACTGGCTACACTTATGGGGCCGCCAGCGAAAAAGTTTGGGGCGTTGGCGCTAGCCCCACATGGTCTTCCCAGTTCATCTACGCCACTGACGCCACGCATGGTTCAGACCCTCGAGGCCGAATTGTGGCGTGGGCCGTTACAATCCATGAGTGGCAACAAGGCCAACTCCGCCTCATTGGGGGAGCAACTGGCCTCCTCCCACCATTGTCCTCTGTGGTGCAAAGAGAAGCTTATGCCATCGCTGACGTCACTACGTGAAGCCAAAAACACTTTCGTGAGCTTTCGTGAACTTTCGTGGGGTACTTTCGTGCACTTTCGTGAACGGGACAAAACACTTTCGTGAAGGGCCCCCCGCGCTTTCGTGAGGACAAAAACTTTCGTGAGCTTTCGTGCAGGGGCCAACCACTTTCGTGAGGGAGCCAAACACTTTCGTGAGCTAACCGGGCACTTTCGTGAGGCAGCCGGGCGCTTTCGCGAGACAGCCAGGCACTTTCGTAAGAGCCAAAACACTTTCGTGAAGCAATCCTGAGCCTAAACAGGCCATCGGGGAACAAATTTTGGAAGAGTCGAAAACCAATTTAACCAATCCAACGAAAAAAATAATAAATCATGATTTCTGGGCCGGGCCGGCTTCAGCGTTTCAGCGTTTTCAGCGTTTCAGTGTTTCAGTGTGCACAGCTAAAGGAAACAGGTTGCGATCAAAGACAGCTATCCAGGCAGCTGTTTTTTGTTCACGCAAATCACATCAATTACATCACATCACATCACATCATATCACATCACATCACATCACATCACCATCACATCACCATCACATCACATGTCAGGCTGCGGCCAAGCAACAATTTTCGCCGAACAAAGGGTGGCCGTGGCTACAGGCCAAGGACAGAGAGCATCTAGCTCGTTTAACTTGGATCAGGTCCTACACTACCCTCGAAGCTTTCAATGCCGAATTTGGCCCCGACCGGGGATGGCGGCGCCTTATCAATGACGATGCGGACGCTGCCTGTAAGGCCACGGCCAAAGAGGCCCTGTCCGCCTTACCCACTTGGGACCCGGTACCGGGCGGATGAATTGGTCTGGGAAGTTACATTTCTCAAGGACCTGCTCACCTGTGACTCCAGACCTCCCTGGGAGAGCCTGCAGGGACCTAAGCGACGACCTTCTGACACCAAAACCAAACAAGCCTGTCAGCAGGCCAGGCGTCAGGCCCAAAATCGGCCAGGGCCTGACGGGGGACTTAACAAAAACAGCGAATCTGAGAGTTGATTCGTGTTCCAGCCCGGTAATCACCGGTGGAAACACATTCGAGGTCCCCAACAACCTCGCGGCCACTTGTGAAATCTGCACCCTTTACATCGAGTAGACTTACGCCTTGGAGGCATGAACGACAACAAAAAAATGTCAATGATTTTTTAACACACAAAATTGCAAATTCGCATGTCAATTATCTCAGCAGCAACGGACCCCAACAGCGTGGGATATCATCAGCTGGCGTGTAGGTTTTTGCAAACGGATTCGAAAAGGAAACCTCGCAAGATTGAAGCAATGTCCAGGTGTTGGACAGGCGCATCTTTACGGCAAGAAAGCGGCGGCAAAAGCAAGGGCTAAAAACTATAGGAAACAAAACTTGCTGCGTGCGCACATACAGATATCTTTTTGCGCGCAAAGATTCCGCCGGCCATACAACCTCGGCTGTCCGTCGCGGTCTTGTGACACAAATGCTACGTTTCCTGCGCGCGCTCGTGGATTTCATTCTGTTTGCACACATATCGTGTATATGTTCATATCAAAATACGGCTGCATTCGAGCTGTCGCTAAGCCACGCGCGCATTCAACTTGCCTGGCGTTGAAACGGGAGAGCCGGTATGTCGTCGAAAGAACACCTTGATCTTCCAATAGTCTCTTAAAAATTAATGTCTATTCTGATAAAAGTGTACACTTTTAAAAGGGCTTTAACATAAACGCTTATTGTATAAAACATAAACGCTTATTGTCTATCATATAAACGCTTATTCTTCTTATTGTGGGGCAAATGGAAGGAAGTAAATCTAAATGTTGCTTCGTGACACAGGGATGCAGGGAGGGAGGAAGGGCCCGACACTGCCAATTACCTGTGCAACAAGTGCAGCATGAATGCTGTCTTTCCGTGCACGCAGGCTTTCCATGCGCATACTGGCTCAAGTTGTTTTAAAAGATTGTCACCGTAGTCATGGCATGGCTTCCGAGCAGAGTAAGAAGGCCAACCCAAAGAAGCAGCACACAGCAACTTTTCCCACAGGTGAGCAGATATCCTTTCACTCTTTCTGGGATGTTCTGATCCACCTTGCTCTTCTTCTGTGCTATGTCTCTTCGGCTTGCGTTCGGGATGTTTTGCTCGAAGCTGTGAAAACACCGGCTGTATTTCAGTAAACATCCCCCAATAAGCAAAACCTAAGCTTTGTACTTGAAACTTTACCTCAAACAATCATCCCCCAATGAGCAAAACCTAAGCTCTTTTAAACTAACACATATTGAATAGCTATAATCAGCCCCCCCCCCCCCCCCCCGCACCTCCCCCTGATAAGCTGATAAGCAAGCAGCTTAGCTTGAACTCTGAACTAAACACTGTGCCTTAGCTAACTCATTGTATTTCAGTTCTCATCCTCCGACAAGCAAGCCAAACCAAACTCTGCACTGACACGTGTACCTCGAGCGATCACCCCCCAACAGGCAAAACCTAAACTTTGCACTACACTGTACCTTAGCTAACGCTTTGCAACTTCAGTAATCATCCCAAGA